TCTAATATTAGAGTATGTGGCTGACAAGGCCAGAGAGCAAGTTAATTTCCAAGTGGATCTGTGATCTCTTTGAAAGGCCTCTCGGTTACCCTCTGCCTCCCTGAGAGGGTGAGGGGGAAGTAAGGAGTGTTTGGCTCTGTCAGGTGTGTCAGACCTACCTTCAGACTGACTGACCCTGCTTAAGCAGTTCCTTATTAAATGGCAAGCCCGTAGAAGGTGGGGCACCTTAATCAAGATAAATAGGCCGTCAATCAAAATTTGAGAGTATCTGACCTGATTAAACCTTACTAGAGTTACAAACAGAAGTCCTGTTTATATCAGCAAACAGAGAGGGAACACATTAATCAGCATCTCTTTGATTTCTTAGAACTCATAATGCCACAGTCTAAGCCTAGCCTTTCTTTTCCCTAATAGCTCAATTTAAATGTTTATTTTTGACCCTGAGCTCCAGTCATGTGCTAGATTGGTACAGAGATGTAAATTAATCCTCACAAGACCTCCGTGAATTATGTGAGTATTACTCTCATTTTAGAAAAGTGAGTACTGAAACTCAAAAGCATTTTAAATGACCCGCCTTAGGTTACTCAGTTGGTGAGTCATAGTCTCAATGGAGTCTGAATTTCTCTGACTTGAAGTCCAGAGCTCTTTTTATTTGTGTTACAGTATATGGGCTAGTTAAACTCCGACAGCTAAACCAATCCACCTCAGGTCTAGGGGCGGTCAGTTCTAGTACCCTCTACAAGCAAAGATAACATTTGGGCAGTTTTCTACGCAGTTGTATGCATATTGTATATTTTTATTTTTTATGGACTCAGTTCTAGTTTGGTTTATTTTTCCTTCTGTATGGTAAAGTACAAAAAGCATGGCCCCTGGAATCAGTCCTGAATTTGGTCTCTAGCTTTACCATTTACTGGCAGTGTAATTTTAGATGTTAAGTAACTTCCAGAATTGAGTTTTCCAGTCTATGTAAGTGGGGTAATGTCTTCTTCATTGGGTAAATTTCCCCCAAACTTAGTGACTTAAAAAAACACTTATTACCTCATAGGTTCTGTGGGTCAGGAATTAGGGAGCTGGTTACTGGGGTGGCTCAGGGTCTGTCAGGCTGCAGTCTTCTGAAAGCTTGACTGGGACTGAAGGATCTGTTTCCTAGAGGGCTCCCTCACATGGCTGCTGTTGGCAGAAGGCCGGAGTTCCGCACTACGTGGGCCTTTTCCATAGACTGTTTCAGTGTCCTGCTATGACAGCTATAACCCTCCCCAGAATGTGTGACCCGAGAGGGAGCAAGGAGAGGGAGCAAGGAGAAAGCCACATGGTCCTTTGTGAACTGTCCAAAGTCGCATACCTTACTTCTGCTTTATTTCATTGGTTCATTCATTCATTAGAATACTGTTACTAGGCCACACTCAAGGGGAGGGAGCAATTACGCTTCACTTTTTGAAGGAAAGAATATCAAAGACTTTGGAGACTATTTAAAAACCACAGTGAGAGGACTCTGACCCCCCCCCCCCCCGCCCCACTCTCTTACCAGTGCTTACGTGTGCCCTGAGTCTGGTGACCTTTCTTGCTGTGGGTCCATTGTCCTGCTCAACTTTTCTTTCTCCACGCCCCCCCCAACCTTTTTTTTTTCTTTTTCTTTCTTTCTTTTTTTTTTTTGGTTGACACACAGTGTTACATTAGTTTCAGGTATACAGCCTTGTCATCTGACAAGTTTATGCATCATGCAATGTTCATCACAAGTGTGGCTACCATCTGAGAAATGGGCTTTCTGATTAAGCAGCTACCATAAAGGATAGAAGTGAAAAAAACTTTTCATTGACTCAAAGACTAAAGTAATAGTTGTTATAATCTCTCCCTTAGGGATAGAGTGATGTGGCTTGGGTCCCACAATACTAGTGACACTTCTTCACTCAGTATTCTTTGCTAAGCTGAGGAGAAAGCAGTAATAGATCTAACCATTGAAGACTCTTTCCTATAGGTTTACACTATGTAAATATGGCCAGCAAAGTGTGATGAGGGTAGCTGAGTTCCTAGAGAGTCTCTGTGCATAGTAGCCTTTAAGGCCATGTTCACATCTGTAAATAGAAGTCTCTGTAGAATACCAAAGTAGATAAATGAAAAGCGGAAGTGGTGTTCTCCTCCTAAACACCACAGTAGGAGTGAAGACCATCCCCATCCCTCTCCTCAGGTCTTGGCCTTCTGGTCTGCATCCTTTCCGAATAGCAACTTCTTAGAGGCTGTGGCATCATAAGCCAACTCAACTTTTAGCCTTCTAAGTGGTACAAATGTGCAATATTGGGATGAGTCCCCAAGGTAAAAGCTGATGGTACTGAATTCACAGAACTATTGGAATTAGTTAGATAACTGGGCCAGAGTGGGTATTCTCTGTGGGGCAAAGGAGAATGAAAATGGAAAAATATGTCACACATATGCTGATTTCTAAAATTTACATCTCCATCCTAGACTACTCTCCTGAGCTTCAGACTGGATATTCAGCTGTCTACCTGACAACTTGGGTGTTAAAGAAGTATCTTAAGCTTAACATGTCCTAAACTTTGAACTCCTGGTTTTTACCACCACCATTGCTCCATCCCTAAACAAAACAAAATAAAAACAAGCCAACAACAACAAAAAAAACCACACCCCGATTCTTTTGTAGTTTTCCTTATCTTAGTAACTGGCAACTCCCTTCTTAGAATTATTCAAGCCAGAAGCTTTGGAGTCATTCCTCTTTTTTTTCTCTTGCATCCTGCATCCAGTCGATTAACAAATACATTAACTCAGCCTATAAAATATATCAGAATCTCCCCACTTTTACTGCTACTGCCCTCATTCAAACCACCGTCTCCCTTGCCTGGATTATTCTTAACAGCTTCCTAAATGGTCTTGCTTCCACTGTTGTCTCTGTACACGGTTGTCTACATAGTAGCCAGAGGGAGCCTGTTAAAACATGTAGATCATTCCATACCTGTGCTTGGTATTTACCCAGTGGCTTCCTAGCTGACTCAGAGTAAATACCATAGTCATTGCGGTGGCCTGCAAAGTCCTGTTCGATCTGGGCTCCATTCACTCTTGATTTCATGTCCTATCTTTGCCTTGCTTACTGAGCCTAAGCCAAACTCCTCCATGCTTGTCCATAACAAACACACCTCTGCCTCAAGGCTTTTTTGTCTTTTATTTGGAGTGTTCTGTCCACAGGTACAGGAGTATGCTACTCCCTTATTTTCTTTATGACTGTGCGAAAATCCACCTCAACAGAAAGGCTGTCCCCCCACCACTCTGATGTACTTGGCATATGGTAGGTGCTTGACAAATGTTTGTCAGACACATGAAACACAACTAGAAGCAAACTGTGGTAGCTCCTCTGCTTGTTGTGTCTTCCCTGATGGTGTTTTAGTTAGTGTATTGCCAGGGAGCTTGCTCCTTGGAGTACTTCAGATGGTCTTTACTATTTATTGACTGAAGAAAGCTCTGAGGAAGGGTGAGCAGGTGGAACAGTAGGTCTGAGCAGTGACCAAGTGGCTTTGGGAGAAATCTGGTGTGGAGGGAACAAGACTGAGCCAGCTGGCCCACTCCCTTCTGCCAGTGAGGAAGTTTGCCTGGGGGAAAAAAAGAGATATTTCCTTTATAACATCCTCTTTAGAAAACGCCTCACCCTACATGCTGAGCAGGTGTCAGTTGGGCAGGCAGTGGTTATAGAGACAGCTTGGGACCTTGTCCATCCCATTTCTGTCCAGGTGCCTCTGGAAGTGGGCTGGGAAGCACAGTCTGAGAAGTAGCAGGACTTTGGATTATTTTGTAAGCCAAGAAAAAACAAGCTATTTAGAGGGGGAACATGGGACAAGCCCATGACATATAATGGTGCAGGCTTTTATAGTCTCAAGATGAATGTTTTAAATCTTACCTTATCCAAGGACACTGGATGTAGGCAGGGGCTAGAAGTACCTTCCTTTGATAACGGGTGTAGAACTGAAGCACAGAATAATTAAAGAACAAGCAAAACTGGAATTTGAACCAGGCTTATTGATTCTCTTTCCTATCTTGGCCAACAAAGTGACATCTGGCCTACTTTGAGTTTTATTGCTTTCACATTACTGTAACTGGTGAGGAGGAGATATGGTGGAAAATTTAGTTAAGATCAAAGGAGACTAAATTCAAAGAATTAGCCCCCATCTCTGGCTTCTTGGATCCTTGAAACTTACCTAATTTTTAAACCACAGGTGCTGTCTATTTCTTCCTAAGTGATCCCTTAAAGCAGAGAAGACCAGCAACATCTAGCATGTCTAGAAATTCCCCCAAGACTGGGTTTATTGAGATTATTGCAAATCAGGTGTACAGGTCAGATTCTTAAAACTGTTAATATCTTTTGGGATACTGGTTGAATTTCCTGTTTATTCCTTTCTTACCCCTTGTGAAGACCAGTTTGCTGGATTCCCTCTTTCTGGGGAGAGCCTTGCCCATTTGTATTCATCAGATTGCTTCTCCAGGCATTCACTGTGTTCACATACTTTGCAATAGGACTTGATTTTAGGTGTTTGATCTTAGGGATCTCTCATTTCCTTAAAGGAGTATATGACATTTGATATAATCCATAACTGTTATTAGTGCAGACATTTTAAGAAAAAACCATAACTGGAAGAGGAGATGATAATAGCTTCTATGTACATTTTTTTTTTTTTTAAAGGATGTTTTAATTTAGGGCAGTTGAGCCTGTGTCCCCTCTCCTAGGAGATTAGAGAACCACCTACATTGTTAGCAGAACTTCACATATAGTAATCCTGGTACCTGCTTGAGCTGCTTTGGTGGGTGGGAGGTGTAGAGGATTGGATCGGTTCCATTGCTCTGTTCTGACCTGAAATGCATGTTATCAAAGATGACTATGAGGAGAGGCCTGGAGACTGACTGGCTGTATTAGAAGGAGAGCTCTTGAGTCCGTATGTGAGGCCTTTGTATCCTGTTCAGAGTAGGCTCCTGTGGTAACTGTTCAACACCCTTTCTCACAGCTGCTCCTGACATCACTGGCCATAAACGGAGTGAGAATAAGAATGAAGGGCAAGATGCCATGATGTATTGCAAGTCAGTTGGCTACCCACACCCAGAGTGGATCTGGCGCAAGAAGGAGAATGGTATGCCCATGGTGAGTAGGAGGCAGCCCTGATTCTCTCTACCTGGGTCTCTGGTTGCTGGAGTTTCTCCTGGGAGGTCCAGACATCTGGACCAGTTGTTGTAACCTGCCATACCAGCATGGCTTGGGTCAGTCATCCTTTCTAGTCACAAATGGTTACATTATGAATCTGGAGGTCACTGACAGTCTTTGTCCAGCATGGAATCCCTACATGATTTGTTAAAGCTGGCTGTCTGCAAAGAGGTTAGACCGGTTTGCCTTCAAGATGGAAAACTGAAAGAGCTAACCCCAATCTTTTTTTTTTTTTTTTTAAGATTTTATTTATTTATTAGAGCACAAGCCGGGGAGTGGGAGAGGGAGAAGCAGGCTTCCCATCGAGCAGGGAGCCCGATGCGGGGCTCGATCCCAGGACCCAGACGCTTAATGACTGAGCCACCCAGGCGCCTGAGCTAACCCCAATCTTAATTTTTTTTTTATTATTCTAGTCCATTTGTCCTAAAGAAAATACTCCTCTTGAAGTAGTCCTTATACACCTTTCTGGTTTTGGGGGAAGACAAGGCGACGAGGGCAATTACTAGTATATTCCAGGAACACAGGGAGTACTGATGAGGGATTGAGGCAACATGGTGAGGCGCAAGGGCAGCCTTGGACATTGGAAATACGACAGCATCTGCTCCCGAAAAGGTCAAAGAAAACATCTTTTCCATTCAGTGCGATGATTCTTGATGGTGTAGAGGGAGTCCAAGTTTTGGACTCTCACTCACTCTCTGATTCATGATGTTTGCCAGTCTCTCTTTCTGGCAGAGAGGGTGTCATCCATTCCTCCTGTCCCCAGGCCTTGCATGCCCAGCACTGTACTTCTCAGGCATCCTCTCTGATTGTCAGTAGTCAGAAGGGACCAAGGAGATAATCTAATCTACTTCTTCAGAAAGATTACATATTAACCAAGGTAAATTAGTGACAAAACCAAGGAAGGGTCAAGTCTAGTTTTTTTATTTCAAGTCCATGATTCTTCCCACTCCATGATCTCTCAATAATGATATGTCAAGGGGCACCTGGGTGGCTCAGTCAGTTAAGTGGCTGCCTTCGGCTCAGGTCATGATCCTGGGGTCCTGGGATCGAGCCCCACGTCCAGCTCCCTGCTCAGGAGAGAGCCTGCTTCTCCCTCTCCCTCTGTCTGCCACTCTGCCTACTTGTGCTCTCTCTCTATCTCTCTGTCAAATAAATAAATAAAATCTTTAAAAAAAAATAATATGTCAAGTGGTGACAAGGACTCTAACATTAACAACAATGACTAGATTTCAGAAACCCATTAATTAAGGGTTCATGATGAGGAAGGGAGAGGTTGAGTATTTTCAGAGCAGGCCCTGAAAAGTCAATAAAATACTTCATTGTGCTGGCAAGCAAATGCCCATTTCTCTCTTGGTCTCTGGGTAGGAGAGCCCTTGATTCCTCAGTAGATATTTTCTTTTTCTTTCTTTCTTTCTTTTTTTTTTTTTTTAAGATTTTATTTATTTATTTGACAGAGAGATAGAGCCAGAGAGCACAAACGGGGAGCGGCAGAGGGAGAAGAAGCAGGCTCCCCACCGAGCAGGGAGCCCGACTCGGGGCTCGATCCCAGGACCCTGGGATCATGACCTGAGCCACGAAGGCAGCCGCTTAACCGACTGAGCCACCCAGGTGCCCCATCAGTGGATATTTTCATCTCCTATTCTTCTCATGCCCATGAACTCTTAATTATCTGTTATATTGTGAAAAACCTTTAAAATCAAGTAGTATTTCCTCTTGCTTCCAAGCTATGAATCATTTGGGAAACAAAACTTTTTTTTATCCTTTTTTTTAATTATGTTATGTTAATCACCATACATTACATCATTAGTTTTTGATGTAGTATTCCATGATTCATTGTTTGCATATAACACCCAGTGCTCCATGCAGAAAACTTTTAATGAAAGAGGGATAGGGAAAAGAAAAGCAATTTCTAGGTTGATGCCTTTGAAAACCAGTTCGTTGAACAGCCTACACTTGGTTGAGGACTAAGATAAAATGCTTGCAGTTTTTTTTCTAGACACTAATTTCAGCACAGATCCTTTTTCTAGACAGATCCCATAGCTTTCTTGGACCTCTTTTTTGTTAAAGAATGGAGTCCAGTCCAATCCAAAATTCCCAGTTTTACCTCCCTTCCCCTCTCCCTAGCCTGCAAGGGTAGCAGGGGATTGTCCTCACTCTGTCTTCTGGGTTTTTCTCTTGTATATGGGGCAGGAAGGGGGACAAGTGTCACTCATCTGACTTTTCCTATAGTCTACTCTTGGTTTTTGCTGCTTCTGGGGCCTCTGCATGGCAGGTATCCAGATCCTGGATCTTGTAAGAACTTGTGTGAGTTCTTTACGGGGCCAGTTCTCAGATATCAGAGATTTACTCTTACTGAACCTCTCTGTTTCCTGTTTAGCTCCAGCCACAGATGCTGGGGTCTGCTCACCCTCTTAGGCAGAGGAAACTTGAACATCATGGCTCTTCACATGGTGGGAGTATAGGCTCCTCTGCCTCCTTATCTCCAGATAGCCTTTTTCCAAGATTGAGAAGCATAGAGCACATCAGTTGGTCTCCTGCATAAACGAATATCCACTGGAAAAAGATATTTTCTTCTTGCCACCCCCAATCTTTGAGTGATTCTCTTGGTGCCTGTTCCACTCAGCTGTAGGGTGGAAGGCTGCATGCAATGCCAAGTATAACTCTTTTCCTATCACCTCTCATCCTGTCTTCTGTTTTATAGATTGGCAAGGGGTAATGTAGTGATGACTTGGGGATAAGATAGCTTGATGGGTCTCCCTTTTAATAAGCCCTGCAAGGACTGTCTGCCCCCAATTTGTATGGAAATTTTTTTTTTAAGAATTCTGGGGTACTTTTTTAAAGTAAGCCATCATTTGTGACAATAAATGTAAAAATTACAGTAGTATTAAATACAAAGTTTTTAAGTATTCTCAAAGGCAGAGATTTAAGAAACAATCTAGCGATATGTTGCTTAAAGATGATCTACATATAACAAAATAGGACAGAAGTATTAAGACAAAAACGATGAATAAAGTACATATGGTCAAAGTATATAAATAGAACAAGTGGAAATATTAACATTACAGAAAGTGAGGTTCAAATAAAAACATGAAACCAAAAGAGTTCCTTTTTATCATGGTAAGATATATAATCCACAATAAAGACAAAGCTGTCATGATCTTTGAAAACCAGTCTGTAGAGTTTCAAAATGAATGAAGCAAAAACTGGAAAAATAAGGAAATATAGCCAGAAGCACAGTTACATGGTGGCAGATTTACATATATTATTTTTAGTCTTTGACAGATGAGATGGAAAATCAACAACATTGTGGAAGATTTGAACATACAATGTGAATAAGATAACACAATCTTGATACTGAAACCTAAATATCAGTCACTGTTAGTTATAAATGTATGTGAACACTTCCTAAGTACAAGTTAAATTAGGAAAAGTTATCCTTCTAAAAAAACATTTATGTATATATTTAAAAATTTTTGAGGTATAATTGACATGATATATTCGTTTCAGGTGTATAGCATAGTGATTTGACAGTTGTGTACATAATGCAGTGCTCACCACGATTAAGTATATTCACCATCTGTTACCATACAATGTTATTACAATGCTATTGACTCAATTCCCTATGCTGTACTTTGATCCAAGAATATGGGGTACTTTTTGATGCTTCTCTTTAGTCATCAAATCTGTAGCAGTAGGACAAGTCCCACTCAGTATCTTCTTAGGCATTGATTGAAAGGTTAAAGTTTCTTTTTTTTTTTTTAAGATTTTATTTATTTCTTGCATATGGATGGTATTAAAAAAATCTGCATTGAAGGCTTGTGGATCAAAGAAGACACTAATCATTTCTGATCATAAGTGAAAAACATGGACTTAGTGAACCAGTAGAGCAGGGGTTAGAGAAGTTGGCAGCTTTCCAAGTCCTCAGTTGAAGCTTCATGGAATAACTATTTTGAAGGCTGTGTTTGCCATTTTAGTTATACCCACACTCATTTGCACACACCACTGTATGCTATAGCTAGACCTCATTCTGGGGGTTATCTTCCCCTTTCTTCTCTACTATTTCTGATTGTGCTTTAGTTGTTGTGTAACAGCTGACACATGAGTCCATTTTTGCCCTGCCATCACCCCAGTGCTGTAAGCCTGTCCCAGCTCCACCTAGACTCCTGCCTGTGGACTCTCACCTCTGCCTTCCCACATGGGCCTGGAGCACTCCTGTCCTGCTTGATCACCTCTCCTCCCCACCATCTAGTGCAAAAACTGGCTCTTCTCTGAAGCTTTCCCTGATTCTTTCTGGCACCGACCACTCACTCTGTGCCCCACAGTACTCAGCACATGCTGTCTGTTGGGGCTTCTTGCCACGTTCCTGTAACCATCCTTTGGAGGTCTGGTTCCCTCTTAAGGCCAACCTCCTCATTCACTTGTGTCTCACCTTCCCCTCAGTAGGATGTGAGACATACAGTATACATTAGTAAATAGTTGATAGTTGTTGGTTGACTGAATAAACTTTCCTTTAACCCTTTAATTCTTTTTTTTTTTTTAATTATTCATTTGAGACAGAGAGATACAAAGAGAGCAGGAGTAGTGGGGAGAGGCAGAGGAAGAGGGAGAAACAGACTCCCTGCTGAGCAGGGAGCCCGATGCGGGGCTTGATCCCAGGACCTGGAGATCATGACCCAAGCCGAAGGCAGACGCTTAACCATCTGAGCCACCCAGGCGCCCCTAACCCTTTCATTCTTAAAGGGAAGTTATGAATTTCTCTACTCTAACTAGGAGCAAGTTCTTAGCATTGTTTCTGGAGGAAGTTTAAGGAGACTTTCCAGAACTCAGCAAGTGTGAGGTAGATGTGCTGATTCTGAAGTCCTCAGGCCTGAAGTTAGCATATATGCCTGACCATGGAGGTCACATCCCTCTTTCTCCATCTTCTTCCTGTGTCATGGTTTCTTACCTGTATTTGAAGTAGCATTTTCTAGATTGAGTCAGTCTTTTCTGAGGCCAAAGGGTAGGGCTTCTTCTCTTCACTTCATAGAAGTCGGAGAAATCCAGAGGACCAATGGCAGGGGAGGCTTTGGCTGGGAGCTCTGCCAGAAGCTTGCTGATCCGTTGTTAATTGATATCGAAAGAAAGCCAGTAATGAAGTGCTCACAAGTTACCTGGACAAAGATGGTCCTAGACACTGCTCCCTCATCCCAGCCAGTGGTCCTAAGAAGGGAGAACATTGCCACCTTGTCTTAGACACAAATTCACCTACTCTGACCTTTGTGTGTTCTTACTTTTTCTGCCCCTGAGCAGGACATTGTCAATACCTCTGGCCGCTTCTTCATCATCAACAAGGAAAACTACACTGAGCTGAGCATCATGAATCTCCAGATCACAGAAGACCCTGGAGAGTATGAATGTAATGCTACCAACTCCATTGGCTCAGCCTCCGTTGTCACCATCCTCAGGGTACGGAGCCACCTGGCCCCACTCTGGCCTTTTTTGGGAATTCTGGCTGAAATCATCATCCTTGTGGTGATCATTGTTGTGTATGAGAAGAGGAAGAGGCCAGATGAAGTTCCTGACGGTAAGAGCATCCCTACAAAATAGCTGTAATGTTGGGGTTGGATCCTTGGGATGGTTTCCAAGCACCCAAAAAGGACTATAGGAATGTTGGGGTTCGATCCCTAAAGGAGAGAAGGAGAAGTCTCATACTGGTTCCTCACTCCCTACTCCTAAGATTAGCCACCTAGAGCTATAATTAGCTCTGTCCCTCCATTTGGGTATTCTCCAAGCCCCAGTCCCATCTGCCTTTCAGGCCCCGTGTGGGGAATGGGCAGCTGTCAGTCTCTTTGTTCAGCTCTGTCCTCCTTCAATACAGATCATCAGGCAGATTGAGCTTGAGGAGAATCCAAGTCAAGCCTAGAAGCCACCCCAAGATCGCAGGCCACCTGGCCTTTCAGGCAGATTTAAGGTATCTAATTGGTTGTCACATGGTTGCCTGGTGTAGCCCCAGCCCAGTCAGACTGTTCTTGAGAAAAGCCGTTGGAACAGGCCAGCCTTTGGTTCCCTTGGTTGGTGGTCCCTTTGGTAGGTTTTCAAGGTTCTCCGTGAAGCAGGCACCAAGCGTTTGGCTTTTCTATCTCACGAGAATGGTGGAATCTGATGCATCCACCACACCCGGTTTTAAGACAGAGACAGCTAAGCAGTAACACCTGGAGCCCATGCCCCAAGGTGACACCCTCAGGCTGGCTTAGGGCCAGAGGTGGGACTAGATAATGGCACCAGGACTGTAGTGAATTATTAAGTGTTGGAAAGAACAGGATCTTACAGATTTTTGGATCTTTAGATTTTGAGGAAAGTCCTAGGAAATCTTTGGGGGTTTTTCGTTGTTGTTGTTGTTGTTGTTGTTGTTGTTTTTGTCATGGATATTCCATTTCTAACCCCAGGATTACAGTCGGGGTGGCTACTGCTGGAGACTTGTACCAGTAGTACGCTCAGCTTCCTGACTAGCTCCCACCCTTCGGCCCTGTAACATCACCATCAAATTCATTGGCCAGCGCGATTACCACCACTTGCCTGTCACTGACTATACGAGAAGGGTATGGGCTTCAGTTCAGTGGAGGCCGGCCTCGGGTGATGGTGAGGATGCCAACTCTGGTACGGCTGTCCTGGGCCTGTGCTCGCTCGTGCACCAAGGTTCTTTGCCCGCCCCACAGAGTTGTCTGTGTCCCTGCAGCTACCACTCCCTCAGAAGGCGTGCAGCCCTGAAGGTAGCCGGTGGCTTTGGCCTCTCTGGAAGGCCACGTTTGAAAGCAATAGCCCCTTCCCCTTCTTTTCCTTTCTTAGCACCTCCAAAATCTCTCTGCCTGCCCTAAGTAGAAGAGTATCACAGTGAGGCTGGTGAAAAGGTTTGTTGTTGAACCTAACAACGCCTGCAGGAAGCCCTGCTGGACTCCCTCCCAGCGTACATTCCTTCCGCAGCGAGCTGGATGGAGGAGTGAGGGGACGTCAGCTGGAAGCCACTGGGCCTGTGGAAATAAATGAGCTAGTTCCCTGCAGCAGAAGTGTGCCCCCAGGATTTTTACATTCCTTTTCCTTGGTCCACTCCTAGGTCCAGCTGCTGTTCTATGAAGTGAACTGTGTTCTTGGGATTTTCACATATGCATAATGCTTTTTCCTGTAGTTTTTTCTCTTTCCTGCTACAGATTAGGATTCCTAAGGCAGAATACTTATATTTAGGCATGAGAATCAAGGGAAGTTGTCTGTATTTCCAGCATTGGCTCTCTAGGAGCAGTTATAAACGCCTCAGTTCTGCAAAGCCTTTTCATCCCCTCAGAGTGTTTTTGCTTTGCTAAACAGCACCTTGCTCAGCCTTCCCTTTGGAAAGGTAGAGAAGCAAAGAGGAAAAGGCAAAGATGGGCTTCAGAACCTGATTTTTTTATTTTAAGACGAGGCTGGCTGCCCCTTTCTTGGCAGAGTGACACATTAGCTTAGCATGTCCCCATCTGAGGTTCCAGTCTTCCTCCTAGGAAGCCACTTTGTTTATTACCAGGTTGCCACCGCCACCCCCCACATGTGTGTGGAAGACATTCGGGTTAGATTTGAGAAATGGTTAGTATTGGTTTGGACAAGCGCAGACACCTGCCTGGGGAAGCAACTATTGTTATAAAAAAAAATAGCTAGAGCTCCATGGCTCTTGAACTCAAGTGGTGGCCAGTTGGGTAGAGGAGACCTGTGTGGTCAGCAAATCTTCTGAATGGCTTTCTGAAGGCAAGGTACCTCTTTTAAGCTAAACTATTATAGACAGTGGATGGATGAATCCTACATGAAAGACATTGGTAAGTGCAAAGTAAAATCTCCTTACTCTGGTGTCTTGGAAGAACTGTAATGCAAGTAGCATTTACTTTTCTGTTGTTGAATTGGGGCGACAGACCTGGGACGCTGGGATTATTGCAGTGTTCGCCTCCTCTCCGCTCCCTTCCTGACAGCCAGCGCGGTCCAGGCTCCATTCTCCATCTCCACATCCCTGCCTTGCTCCAGCATTTCCACCCCAGAGTTTTCTCCTTTGTCTGCCTCCTCCTCTCAAACCCCTCCCTGCTCCTGTGCCCCTTTATTTCTTGTCCTCCTGGAATTAATCATTAAAGAAAAAAAAAAGTTGATTGTTCCTCAGTGAGTTTTCCTTATGCTGTGGCTTTTTTTCTAGCTAGTTTCCCCTCAACTCCTGTGCAGTCCATGTAAGGGCAGCCTCCTCATATGCTTTCTTCCCACATTACCCCTTCCCAAGGCTACATGTAGATAGATGCATGCGCTCCTTTGTGGAATGAAGGAAGAGGTACCTCATATCTTATACAAATTGGAGTTTTAGAGGTGATGAATTACCAGATAACCATCTGTGGTGCTGTTGACGTATTTATGCCATTGGGAAAATGGATTTTTTTTTTTCTATACGCCTGACATGCTTTCTCTGCCAAAATAGGTACTTTATTATCAGAGTAGACAGGATTTCTGAGTCACTGAATTTCTTCTTGTATGAAACAATTTCATGTAAAACTCATATTATTCCTATTTGGGCAGTCTGAGCTCTTGGAAACTCAGCCCCTTACCAAAAAAGCACTAAGTTGAACAATTTAAAACTATACACATGCACAAATTCGAACTTAGAGAGTTTAGTCTGAGTACATTTCACCAGAAAAGCAAATACTGCTTTAGATTTCTCACATAGAAAATGCTTACAGTTAAGGTTTAGTGACTTTCAGTAGAAAAAAACAAAAGAGCTCTATCTCTTAGGCTACCAGAGTCTACTCATGACATTTTATTATTTTTTTAAGATTTTATTTATTTATTTGACAGAGCCAGAGAGCACAAGCAGGGGGAGTGGCAGAGGCAGAGGGAGAAGAAGCAGAGTCTCTGCTGAGCAGGGAGCCTGATGCGGGGCTTGATCCCAGGACCCTGGCTGGGATCATGACCTGAGCCGAAGGCAGACACTTAACCGACTGAGCCACCCAGGTGCCCTACTCAGGACATTTCATAAACGAAACTCACACTAAGTCCCTTGAAGCCCCTGTTGTGGTTTCTTTGAGGATTGGTGCCCAGTAGTTTGTCTTATAGGTAGATTATCTGCATATCACCTTTTGCCCTCAGTGTTTTCAGTAACAGATGAATCATGGAGTCAAATCAGAGGCTTCATTTTTTTCACTTCACTCACCTCTTGACTACATTCTCTGAAAATGTTAAATGATAATTTTCTAATAAGACTAGGTCCAGCCAGCATCCCCCTAGCCTTCCATCCATCCTACAGCTCACATGCTTGGAGCACACCTGTGTTGGTTCTCTGCAGACTAAACCCAGAGAGGGATTAGTGTGTGTGTGTGTGTGTGTGCGCGCGCGCTTCAAGTCTGTCCTCCCCAGTCCCCTGGGGAGATGTGGCGTGAGCCTGCCCCTTTGTTGGGGCCTTCAGTTCTACTGGACATTTTAGTGACCTCAAATGAAAACAGGAGGAGCTGATTTAAGAAAAGAAGTGGCAGCATCAGAAAGAGTTTTGTTTTCACATTTGGGGACTAATTTTTATAAGCAGTTCAAAGGGATTCCTCCTCAAGTTACTGGTGGAGTAGACAGTTGGGGGTTTGGGGGGGAACCATTTTTAGTGGCTCTGATACATTCAAACTTATCTTATTTTTTTCAAAGATTTTATTTATTTATTTTGACAGAGAGGGAGACAACGAGAGCAGGAACACAAGCAGGGGCAGTGGGAGAGGGAGAAGCAGGCTTCCCGCCGAGCAGGGAGCCCGATGCGGGGCTCGATCCCAGGACCCTGGGATCATGACCTGAGCCGAAGGCAGACGCTTAACTGACTGAGCCACCCAGGCGCCCTCAAACTCTTTTAGACTACAAATAAGAGCTATTCTGATGTTTGAAAAAATCTGTTGGGAGCATATGAAGCTTTTCAGCTGGCCAGGAATGCTGGAAAAGAAATGTGACTTTTTAAAATGACATGCAAAACACACATGTCATTGTCTCCTAACTCTAGGGGTCATCTGAGTCAGTAACAAGTTACCTTACGGAGAAAATACAGTAGGACCAAATATGAAAGGCAACTGGGTGTGACCGTTAATCTCTCTCTGGTTTAATGCTACTCTGCTGAGATCAGGCAAAATAGAATCAGGTTTAGAAACTCGAAAACCCCATCCTCAGTGAGATGAAGGCGGTGAAAAAGGAGTTTTGACCAGACGGGTCAGCTCTTGGTCACGTTGGCTGGAAAGCCGTCTTTCTGGAGGTGCTCCCCTCTCAGGTAACGCCTTATTTACTGGGCATCGCAGAGCACCCTCCCAGCTGATGAGGCCACGGGGTCTAGCGGAGCGAGGGCCATAGCACATCCACCCGCAACTTCACTCTCCTAAGATGGATTCCAGAAGCATCTCGTTTCCCTTCTCCCCAGTCGTCGTCCTCCCATCTAGCCAGGGGCTGGAATACCCAGGCGAGGGGAGAGCCATTGTTTCAGCCGCTGGCTTGTGGCCTGAGGGTTTGGGGGTATGTTGATATTTGTCGGTTACTATGACTTCTTTTTTTTCCCCCCTCAATTGCATCAAACCCTTAAAACATGGTGGTAAGTGAGCGATATGCATGCTTTTGGAGTTTGTTTAATCTCCGCTTCAGTCTATACGATGCACAGTTCATAATGTTAACACTTTTCTTCAAGTTTACTTCATTCACTTTCACAACTAATTTGGATTTCAGTTTGCTGTTTAATCCTCATTTACTTTTTGATTTTTGTACCTTTTTTTTTTTTCCCTGTACTGTTCTTTCCCTCTCTCCCGATTTCCCTGTTAGGGTCAGGTTGTTGGGGTTTTTTTGTTTGTTTGTTTTTTGTTTGTTTTTTTCTTTTTTTTTTTTTTTCCCGGTCTTACCTGTAAAGGGAGAGTGGTGCTGCAGATAGAGAGTCAGTCCAGACAGTAGGAGACACGAGGCTCTTTTCTGGATTCCTTGTAAATGTGCGAGTGGATCTGGGGAGAGAGATGAAGGGAGATCTAGATGCACCTGCTCCCACTCGCAGGCATGGCAGCTGCACCGGGGCCGCTGTTGCTCAAACCCCTACATGCAGCCCTTTGCACCTTACCGGCTTGTTAGGCTGGGAGATGACGCCACCAGGCAGACAGCAGGGCCTACCCCTCCGCCACCAAAAGAAAGAGAAGCTTGCGTGTAAAGTGCTTGGGTCGGTGCGGACAGTGTCCTGCTTTGAGGAGATTAGCTTGGCTGTCGCGATTCCTCTCCCCTGCTTTTTCTTTTCATGTTGGGAGTAGATTGGTGATATTCTTGTTGGTTATCTTGCTTTAGAATTTTCTGTTTTCCGGTGCACAGCCAGAGCACTGAAACTATTCTAAGTTTGCTCCTGGGTCTTTTCCCTGAAGTCCCTGAAGTGCTTAGTTCCTAGCATGTAGCTGAGCTGGCTTGGCCTGGATGCGGAGAGCCTAGGGTGTTGTGGTGAGAGTAGACATAGGCTGGGCTTGTGTGTCTCAGTCTGGATGTGTCTCGTATATCTCCACTGCGTCCCCGGCACACAAATGTCTCGGGTGTCCTTGAGTCTCAGTTGTTCTCTGTACCTGTTCGACAGTGTACTGTTGTTAGTAGTAGAATCCTGTGGACACTGGTGTGTCGCTAGCCTGTTGTTTTGGCTGACAAGTCATTGGTTTGTGGTTAGTTTTTGTTTTTGTTTTTATTTTTCAATCTTTTTTTGCTCCAGTCACTGTGTGTGCTGGCGGTGGCTTTGCCTCTCCGTTGCCTCGAAGGAATAGGTGGAGCAATGTCTCCCTGTGACAGACATTACTCCTGACGCGTGCTCCTGCAGACGCCTACACTGAGACTGTGACCTCCATAACTGCTTCATGTGCACCAAGCCCCCTTGTGGAATCCTGCTGAGAGGTTTTCTAGAAGCCTTTGGTGAAACCAAACTGTTCTGAATAATTTAGTCTACCTGACTTATGTAAAATAGAAAAAAAAACTAAGAGCACTTACTTGTTCCCTCCCCTTTGTGGGCCTCTTTTAAAAAAATATCCCATGTACCTACACCCTTGCCTAAAGGGGACCAAGTTGCCCTTAGTCCAAACAGGAAAGAAAAACTTACAAATCAGAATTGTAAAATACCAATTTAAGAAGGCTTCTAAACTCAGATAATGTAAGCTTTTTGGTTTAAAAAAAAAAAAAAATCTCATGGCTCATCTGGATTTGGGTGCTGGTTTTGGCCAGGGCTCAAGAGTTGAGCCTTTCTGTCTGAGGTCTTTTCTAGAAGGATGTCACCACTATTCAGCTCTCCCTGGTGTGTCACGGAACATCTTTTGGCATGCATACACTTGTTGCTGGCGTAGCCCAGCGGGGCTGACCCAGTATTAGGTTGAACTATTGTGGCTTCCTCTTCCTCAGTCTCTTCTCCAGACTAAAGACTCTGCTAAAGATTACAAAAGAGCAAGAACAGTGTCCTTTGGGGAAGTGAGGATGTGTGGCTAAATGTATAGAACATACACATCCATCTACATTGTAGGATTGAGCCAAAACTGTGCATGCATTCACCACAAGAAAACAAACAGCAGGATTTTACAACTGAGATGTTGGTTTGTCTTCTCATCTATTTAAGAGTGAACCACTGGAACTTGGGGACAAGATGAGTATAACGATATTGCAGCCTATCTGTCCGCTCCAGTTGCAGTTTTTCATGACAAGCATTCAAAGTGTTAACTAAAACCATTGAAACAACATACCTGCCATTAAAAACTTGAATCTAGAAGTAATAACTCCATGAGTGTTTTTGCACCTCCAGATGGAATGGCCTTGAATAAATGCTATGAATAGCCATGTTTGCCACTTGCCGTTTGCTGTTCTATTCAGTCTTATGTAGAGTCTCACGATTTTCTCCTTTCTTCTCCTCTCAATGGATTATTAAAAAACTGAACACCTTATAGACGATGAACCAGCTGGGCCAATGTAAGTACTTTATTGGACATTGATTCAGTAGTTTCTGTTGTATTTTGTATTTGCAGTTTAATCGAATGGAGTAGCAAAGGTCGTGGGGAGCCAGTGAGTGGAAATGAGTGTCGTAGTGTAGACCTCCCTAGCCGCACGGTCGTGGAGCTGACTGACAGCCATTTGATTCCCAGGACAGGCAGTGCAGTTTTGTTTTTAGTAACAATATCAAGTGGAATGCCATGCAAGAGACTGCTTAAAGTTTTGCACATCCTAGATGCTTAAATTGATAATGCGGGGGAAATCACCTGTATATCAGAGACTTCCAGTTTTGTTCATTTCAAGCTGTACTGTAGCATGGAGAACCTGCCTGGCTCCGTCAGCAGTTGCATGTATCCAAGAGAGATGGTCCTGTGAGTTCTGAATCTATCCCAGATAAGCAGAACCTCCTAGAGTTGGGGACTAAGGAGTGAGAGACAGGCAACCAGTGCCCAAATCGGTTAAATGCCCATATGCGATCATCTTTTATCATTTGAGAAGAGACCATGGTGTTCAGCAGAGAAGAAACTACTGTTTTTACGTTTACAAGTAATTACAGTCTATAAATCAGAGGGAAAGGTACCTGTATATTGTCTGTCTTGGGAGTCAAAAGGATTAAGCGAAGCTCTGTAGGCACTTTATAGAAAGAATATTTTTACACACCAATGTGCAGTAAAATTTATTACACCAGGGATGGTAGTAAGTGAAAGAATCCCTGTATTTCCATGTGTTAAATTTCAGGAGTTGCTAGTGACTTTGAGTTTAACCTTTATAATGCCATTTTTCCTCCAAAGGAAAACCAACTCTACCAACAATCACAAAGATAAAAACTTGCGCCAGAGAAACACAAATTAAATACTGCTTATAATGTAAGTATGGCCTTCTTTAGAAATTTTAAAAATTATATTCAAATGAATGTGCCTCTATTGACCTTGTTACAGATTCTTCAGTAGTTGGCGTCCTGTTGTGGGATCTTGTAGTTCATTTCAGAGCAGATGCTACTGATGGACCAAGTTCGGTCTCTGTCCTCCATCTAGTGCAGCAGCTGGCAAGGAACGTTTTCAGCTATGTTGTTCCACATTGCCATTTCAGAATATGTATGGTGTTTTAAAAAGAAAGACCTTGCACCACTATTTAACCATACCTTTTAAAAAAAGAGGTAAAAATTGTCACCTTAGGTGGATTATTCCCAGAGGCCAGTTAATTCCACTTTGCTTGTGAGGGCAAGGCAAGAATGGTGGCCGGGCACAGCCGGGCCGGAGTGCCTTCCACGTAGGCACATGGAGATCAGAATTTCACACCACATCCCTGAGCATGCTTTCTGAACCAAAGCTTTGTTTGATGTGGCACTTGGGTGTAGTCTTAAGTGACAGTGCATATTCCCTTTTAATCTCCACATACTCTTTCTTTACAGATCTTTAGGTTCCTGAAACTGGTGGCAACATGACCTGCTAAATTTTCTGCTTGGACCTCTTTGGTTCTCTCCCCTTTCAAGTGAGCGGCACCACAATGACTGTCTAAAGCATGCCTTATTTAGCCTTTCCTGTAAGGGTGACCTAGTCAGGTACATTTTAAACAATGCTTCAGTGTAGAAGGTGTAAACTATTTTGGGCTTGATGTGCTGTGAATGTTGCTTTTTGCCCCCCTTTGTTAAAATATTTAAGTAGAAGTGAAAAGGTCCTCTGAGGATCGGATCGTGCATGCGCCATTTTCTACTTAATGCAGCTGTTAAATTGGCACAGCTCTCAGGTGCACTGCTGCCGTCTAGTGATGACATTTTTGTAAAGAACAGCAAAACCTGCAGATATATACAGTATATAAATATATATATATATATATTTATATTTTTGGGGGTGGGAGAAATCCAAAATAAAATAAAAGCTTGTTTCATTTTTTAGCTGCCGATATTCATTCATTATTGTATGTTGTCAGATGAGGAAATCGTGCAGTTCTGGTACATAAAGATGAATAATATAAACTGAAATCTATAGTTCTAAGGGCTTAACCTACGACTTTGGTAAGAAGCTGGAACACTCCACTGAATGGATATATTGAATTGCAGTATATATGTACGATTGCTTTTTAAGTGATTCTCTTTTGTTAAATCATGTAAATTCTTAAATCCTTTTGCACTGATGTGTTGAACCTTATTGTACATTCAATGAAGGCAAACTTTTATAATTTACCTTTTGTTTTCAATGACCTTGAAATGTTCTCGCATGGTATTCTATGCAACTCGTTCTCCTCCAGGGTTGACACTGTATTTTTCACATTGATTTAACGGCTGAGTGTAGATTTTCTCGCCCGGCAGGGTTCTCCTGCGGTATGTAACCATAGATGCATGTACTGGTGTTTTGTGTAAGTGTTGAAGTGCAATGATGTATAAAAAAGTGGATTCACCTGTTTTTAAAAATAAAACATTGATAAAAGGTGTCTGGAATAATACTCTTTATTCTTGTATCTAATCTTAAGAGGAAGCACATTTTCAAGTGCTTTCAACTTCCTTCGTTCTGTATGTACGTGGAGTGTTAATTTCTCAACCCTGTCAGCTTTTTGAGTTCCTTTTCCACCTCTTCCACAAACGCGGGGAAATTCTGATCCATGAGGCACAAGCGCAGAAAGGGGCCTAACTCTTCTGTGTCCCACGCAGATTGTTCACGGACTGGGGGCCGCTCCTCTGACACCAGGAGAGACTGTGGGGATTTCAGAAGAGTAGTTTATTAGAGATTATAGCCAAAAGCAACAGCCTGAATAGAACACAGAAAAACTTTGCTTTAAGGAAATATTAGGGATACACCAAAAATTAGTGCTTATTATAAGCTTTACAGGGTTCCTTTAGATGTTTCTAAATATACGTAGGAAGTGAGATCAACTTGTAGCCCTAGGTATTTCAGATGTATTAATGAAATGTTTTACAAAGTTAAGATCCTGCTTTAATGAAGAATACTGTGCTAACATTTTGTGGATTGATAGAGTTGTCAATGAATGAAATGCACTAGCTTTGTTCATCTTTCCCACCTCATAGATGGATGGGTGTGAACAGTTCACCATGTGGAAAGTGGGTTTTGAATGTAATAAAGAGAAGTCACAAACTGACCGATCAAAGGACATAATTAACTCATGTCTCCTTCCAGTCCTATTCATGAAGTTTGACAGGGAGAGAAGCATGGTAATTATCACAACAATCGAGAGACAGACATTTTCATGCCCCCCCCCCCCCGGAAAATTTCTTCACACTACCTCCACTCTTGTTGTCAAACACTTAACCCCTGGCAACCACTCATCTGTTCTCCATACCTTATAGCTTTGCCTTTTCCAGAATGTCATAAATGAGGTCACATAGTGTCGAGCAAGTTTTTCAATTGCCATCTGTATGTCTTCTTTGGTAACTTGCAGTGTTTTAAAACCAGTTGAATAAGTTGCTAATATTTAGATATTAGAGTTCAAATCAAAGTCTGACAGTGCTTGGCAATCTGGAAGATACGGTGACACCGGATCCACAGTCTCAGGTGATACTGTGGGCTCTGGCTCGGCAGTGTTCCCTCTCTCTACGTTTGCCGCTTTGACGCCTCACGCTCCTCCTCCTAGGTAGGCGGTTTTATGCCCTTTCTATGGATGGCATGATTTGGTGTGTGTGTGTGTCTACAATTGCTATTTCTCTAGAAACTATCTGTAATAGACATTTATTTTTCTAAATTCAAACCAGCTTCTCAGACTCTACTTAGAACATGAAAGTAACATGGAGCCCTGCTCTCCAGTGAGAGAGACTGTGTGTGTGTGTGTGTGGTTTTTTTGTTTTTTTTTTAAGATTTATTTGACAGAGACCTAGCGAGAGCAGGAACACAAGCAGGGGAAGTGGGAGAGGGAAAAGCAGGCTTCCTGCCAAGCAGGGAGCCCGATGCGGGGCTCGATCCCAGACGCTTAACAACTGAGCCACCCAGGCACCCCGAGAGCCACTGTGTTTATACCACACTTAAAACCACTTAGTATCCTATTAGTGAACATTTATGTTGTTTCCAATCTTGTTTCTGTGATCATCACTATGAAGAGCATCCTTATATATGCATGTTTGTGTAGTTGAAATGGAATTATAGGTAATAAAATAGAACTTTAAATTTGATCTATGTTGCTAAATTGATTTCCAAAATGTTTTACTCACTTACATTCATGGAATGACTTGTCTAGAAGTTTAGAGCAAACGAGTAACATATCTGAGCTGCCAGCCTGGTGCTTTCTCTTGTTTTTACATGGTTCCATACTATGTAAATAAGTTAGGCTAAGATACACTTTTTATAGCAACTGACATTTCCTGAAGAAGGATATCACGCCCTGCCTTGTTTCCATGTTTTCTGTGGCTCTCCTGTCCTCAGCCACTCATTCTATTAACCTCTAGCCACAATGCAAATATGAGGCTACACTGGGGCACTATAGAGTTTGATCTGCTGCTGGACAAACAGGTTTTTAGGTTTTTTTTGGGGGGGGGGTTGGTCGTGCTTACTTGTGTTATTAAAAGAAATAGACATGAATTCTTAGTCTTCTTAGCTCTTCAGTTTTTTTTTTTTTAAGATTTTATTTATTTATTTGAGAGAGAGAGCACAAGTAGGCAGAATGGCAGGGAGAGGGAGAAGCAGGGAGCCAGACGTGGGGCTCGATCCCAGAACCCCAGGATCATGACCTGAGCCGAAGGCAGCCACCCAACCGACTGAGCCACCCAGGCACCCCAGCTCTTAAGTTTTTAGTTCTATGACCGTTTATTTTGAGTTAGTGGTAAGCCAGATGGAGAACACACCAATGTTTTCTGTTTTATACCACTGTTAGCACAGTTCAATAAATACATTAAAAAGAAAATTCAGGGGCGCCTGGGTGGCTCAGTCAGTTAAGCGTCCGACTCTTGGTTTTGGCTCAGGTCATGATCCCAGGGTCATGGGATCCAGCCCGATGTTGGGCTCTGTGCTTAGCATGGAGTCTGCTTGAGACTCTCTACCCCCCTGGCTCGTACGTGCTCTCTCCAAAGAAAATTAACCCTTGAATATTGATGATTTCCATGCAGAATTGTATGGAAGGCACAAGCTGTTGTCGGGCGCAGCAGGGAAACGCAGTGAGAAGACAGGCCTCAAGGAGCTCTCAGCAGAGCAGGCATCAAGAAACCCTGAGTTTGAATGAATAGGTTTTGTGGGATTCTTTGGTAACAGCAAACTGCAAGGGGAGAGAGGAATGTCTGAAAGCAAGTCTGTGCGAACAAAGCTGAATCCTCCTGGGTTCCCACACATCCTCAGCTGAGATCTTAGCACCGGAAGATCTTGCCCCTACAGAAACCATCATTGATCTGATTCCAAATTCCTACTGATGTTTGTCTTAGAATAGTTCTCAAATTTCATGTCCAAAATTAAATGGAAATTCTTCCCTCTATTCCTCTTTTCTGGGCAAGTGGTAATTAAATCCTTGATCTCACACACTGAACCGCTACAGCCACAGGCCCGCCCCGCCCGCCCCACTCCACCTTCCTCCAGAGGCCGCTCTTCCGCAGGCGCCACCTCTGGGCAGAGGCCAACGGCCCGCCTGCCTTCACCAGCTTCTGCACCAGCACTTCAGCTTACTCTTCCCCAACAAGGGGTGACCACAGGGATGCAGATTCCTCAGGATCACTGTTTTCATGGCCAAGGAAAACAACAGGGAAACAGGCTCTACCTGAGCTAGCCAACTCACTGAGGTCCTTCCTCCGGAAGCGCTCGTGTTGGCCGGTCCACACAGCTGCGGCTTCTCCGGGTTCTGGGGTGGCTGCAAGGAGACGGCTGCAGTTAGGGGATGAGCTGAACGTAAACACAAACGCCACTGGCCGTCAGAGGAGTGGCAACACATGTGCTTGTGTGAAAAGAAAGTGCCAGTATCAGTAAAGGGCGTGAAGTCCTCGTCGGTGGAGTCTGTCCTGGCTTAAGCTGGGCGGGAGAGGACAGACAGTTTGCGTCAGAGGCTCCCCGCCCTGTGTCTGGTTATCTGTCCCTCCGTGTCTGCCAGGCGCTCCGGCGGGGCTGCAGTGCGGCTGGCTGGCCGGCACCACGGCGCGGCCGCGAGCTGGTGCTGCAGGGCAGCGGACACCTCCCAGCTCCGGCTAGTGAACTGGTCCTTTCTGAGAGTTATGACTCAAGTAAGACATAATCGTTGCAGAAAAGCAAAGCGGGGGGCAGGGGAATCCTATAATTTCAAGATAACCATATGCTTTTAATAAAACTTAAAAAAATCTGTTTAGATATTCTGAGGGAGTGAGTTCTGTGAGTAAAATACCAAGATATCTTCATTCAACAATGTTTGTGCCTACTAGACACATCTCGCCGGGGTGAGAAAGGGAAAGGGCCAGAGAGAACAAGGCAGAGGTCCAGCCTTCAAGAACCCACAGCCCAGGGGCGCCTGGGTGGCTCAGTCGTTAAGCGTCTGCTTTCGGCTCGGGTCATGGTCCCAGGGTCCTGGGATCGAGCCCCACATCTGGTTTCCTGCTCGGCGGGAAGCCTGCTTCTCCCTCTCCCACTCCCCCTGCTGTGTTCCCTCTCTCGCTGTGTCTCTGTCAAATAAAATCTTCAAAAAAAAAAAAAGAACCTGCAGCCCAGTGAGACCCTAACAAGTAAAACAATGATTATAATGCAACCTAAGAGGTGCTGGAATGAAGGCAGGTATAAGACTTCAGGCTCTTGGTGGAGGGGGTGAGTCATAGGGGGGCTATATGCTAGGCAGGAAGTACATCTGCTCCAGAATCCATGCTATTTCAAAAGAATCTACAATGTGAAGGGGTTGTCTTGGGTAGAACACGGGCTGTGTTCCAAGCAAATAAAATCCGCACAATGTAGCAGGAGGCCTGGAGGCCCGAAAGGCTCAGAAGCCTGCTTCTACCTAAAAGCACTATTTCCAAAGCCCCACCCCCTCCTTCCTAGGTGCAGTCTGCAGGTCTGCTGAGGCTTAGGCCACCAGCATGTTCTGGCTGCCAGAAGTCAGAGGGTGCCATCTTTTGTCTCATCCTATGTGGAAGCTATCACTAGTCAGTAGGTACTCAGAGAAAAGTACATCTGGAAGCATCAAAAACAAAAGGCAGGGTGACAGAGAGGAAGGGAGGAAGGCACAAAGAGAAAAGAAAACTAGTCAAGAATACTAAAAATGAGCAAAAATGTTAAGGGACTCCAATGAACCCAGAAGTCCCTAGGCAAGCCCCCTTTCTCTGTTCAGTTTCCACACTTGTGAAAATAAGACTCTCATGCCTGGCATTTCTTCTGGTTCCGATATGTGATGCTTTGCTAGGATATGTACAGCCCACACCGTGTTCCTCAGACAACTGGGACAGACATCAACCAAATGTGTAGCGTAAACACTGAACAGCAGCCAACTGTGAGGGAAGTGCCTGGGGCTAGTAGGGTGGCTCGGGTTTAGACCATCCTCCACTCAGGTGTGTAGGCTTAGAAGGTTCTGTGCACACAGTAACTGGTTGCTTTCTTCTTCTGGACTTCTTCACCTGGGAACTACCATTCTCTTTCCTGTGCCCCTCTCTTCGGGCTGGACTGGGTTGCCTTAGAAGCCCTCAAGTTGAGAAACACTTGGTTAGGCCGCAATTAGCAAAATTACAAGGCTGAGGGAAAGTAAAAACAAAATGCTCTGGGAAATGACTCAAGAACTTGAAGTAGAAAGACATGGAATTATCTCGAACTGCAAAGAAGAGAACTATTTCAGACCAAAAAAAAAAAATACATACATATATATATATATATATATAGGTATTAGGGAGATGACACACCTGAATACAGGAGAGCAGCAAGATGACTAGAACTTGGCCACAGCTTGCAATTCTTTAAGATGGATTCTAAGGGAGCATGGTCCTACATTTCACAGCGGCAGCTATGGGCAAACCTGGGGATGTTTTGCCATTAGGAAGACTAGAATGTTCTAGGTAGTGCTTCACAATGTCTACACTGTGGCAAATTAACCCAGTGGTTTTACCTTGTCTTCTGCTCTGCAGCTTCAGACACTCCATCTATAATTATTATGGCCCCACTGACTCTGGAGTTCTGACCCTGGCTAACTAACCAGCACACACACTTGTTCATCTGCAAGGGAACACAGATCTGGGCGGGTCACAGTACTGGCAATGACTGTCATAATGAGGAACGTTATTCAGATGTTTGCCAGGTGTTGTACTACATCTGTGTGTGTGTACATATACATTTGTACATATATACATTTCCATCTCACCATGTTACAGATGAGGTTCAGGGACTCGCACAAGATCAAACAGCCACTAATAGGGTCAGGATTCAAACCCAGATCCGTTTTGATACCAAAGCCTGTGTGGTCTTTGCACAACATTGCACATCACACCAAACTACAGTTTGGAAAATCCCTGAATACAGAATCAAGAAAAGACATGGATAATTTCTAGCCACTCTGGAGATACTTCTACCTAGATACTTGGGACCAGCCTTCAAAATCAGAGAGCTAGAGCCTCCATCCACTGCTATAGCTCACAACCCTCAGCCTGTGTTTGCTACTCCATGCTATAGCCTCAGTTTATCTTCTTATATTAAGATAATTGTGTTGCCTGGTTAGGTTCTAGCCTGATGCATCTTCATTGCCTTTATAAGGCATTCCAGACCTACTTCCCAAATTCTAGGACCCTATTTGGTTCCTGTCCCATCCCATGCACTGGGTACCATAATGTGAATCTCATAACGGATCGATGTAACCTACAAAAGAAGATAATCTATTTAGGGGGCAAAGGATCATAAGCAATAAAGTACCTCGTAATAAACCACTCCATCCCATTTGTAGGGAAGTGATTCTTAATAGCGGGGAGCTGATGTGGCAAAATACCTGAAACTAGATCCAGGGTTTATAAGAAATGAAGCTTTAGCATGAAGACATCTTCACAAAAAAGATCAGACAGAAACAAATGAAGGGAAAAAATCCTAAAACAAAATCTTATTTGGCAAACTAAACACATTCAAGAGAAAATCAGTACTTGTCAAAGAAAAAGACCTTATGATAAATAATATAAATTTATGTTCACCCTAGATAAATTCTGAACCAGAAACTTGGTGGCAAAATAGCAACAACGAACCATCTCGGTCCAGTGGGTTTAAGGGCCCTGACAGGATGAAGGGACAGGAAGCCAGGTTTGGAAAATCATTTCTCAAAGTAGAAAATAAAAAACCCAGCTTGAAACTGGGATTTCACCTCAAGAGCAGAGGTAGATGCTTATGCTAACAGCATTTGAGATTAGGCCAAAGAAATGCCAGAATATGTCCTTCCAGGAGAAATTCTGTCACAATCATTCTCCAACTTATGATCACAAGACCCCTTTACACTTGGACAAATTAGTGAGGCCCTCAGAAAGACTCAGTTTTGGTTATATCTTTCTGGTATTTATATGTTAAAAATGAAAACATTAAAAATACTGAGTCATTTAAAATAAAGGAACCCATTATATGTTATTTAAAATGTTTTTATGAAAATAACTATTTCCTAAAACAAAAATGTCATGATTTTTCAAATCTCTGGAATGTCTAGCTTAATGGAAGATAGCTGACTCTCCTACTTCTGCATTCAGTCTGTTGCTTCGGATGAGGTACATGAAGAAAATCTGGCTTCACACGGGTATGTAGGTGGAAAAGGCAGAAGTAATCTTAAAATAGCCTTTTCAGGTAATGGTGGATATTCTTTGATAGGACATCAAAACTCAACAAGAGATAGGTTCTTAAAAGTTAGTTGTAACACAGAATCTGAAATCATAGCAATGAACTAGTTACACTCTGTCATATTAAAACCACTGGACTGTTGTGTACTTTGAGCAGCTCTCTATCCATGCATGATTTTGTAGCATCATGGATTGGTCACTTGGAAAATACTGGTTCACCGGACTATACAGATCTTCCAAAAGGTTGAAACTTTTTGTCATATAATTAGTTCTAAAAAAGAAACACACTCATGTTCATTAGTAGCACTATCAGAAAAGTCTTCCGGGTCAGGAAGCTGTGACAGTCCAGCAGCAGAAAGAAGTTTTCCAAGATTCCAGTCTTCACTGCAAAAGCTTATTTCATCATTGTTGATAAATACAATTAGTTGCTTTCCGAAAAGGACAGGCTCACTTCATTTGAGAAAATGCCCACCGAATACCCAAACCCGGGGAGCGGCAGTCTGTCCGCTGTTCCTGGGGCTAAGGGCGCTCCACGGGCGCTCTGCGAAGCCCGGGCTGACTCAGTGCGCAGTGCGGCTGCACAGGCACCTCCCCTGGAAAAAGCCGCCTTGTTTCCGAATACAGAGCGCGCGTGCATGTATTGTCCCCGCAAGTGACTGTTGAAGACAGTGCTGACTTCCTGCATGGTCTGATGTCACTGCCTTGATCTGTGCTAAGGTGACAGCAGCTTTGCTCACAGTTCTGTCAGGTTAATGCAAATACTGACACAATGAAAAAGGGCAAATAAGGTCATATTATTATAAAAACAAGGGTGACTTTACAGACCCCTGCAAAGGGTCTCAGGGAAGAGTCCATGGACCATCACGTGGAGGACCATGGTCTATAGTGACACCCCCAACATAGCCGGGACTCCTGGCTAGTCTAATTTCTAGGAGGATAAGTAGTTACAATGACAACCTTCAATTTAAGTAAGTCACTCAACATTAGGTACCTTTTAACCCATAAACCAGACAGACTCAACAAATTCCACTGTGATTTTGTCCCCCGGAAGCAAGACCTTGTCAGGTTTCTCATGAAGCCACCACACTCGCCTACTTACCCCCTGCTGCGGTGGCCCACGCTGTGCACAGCCCTTCCCTTGGCTTTCACCTGCCCTCAGCGGGCTGGGCCTTGGCCGGAGCTCCTGGCTGACTGCGTCGGGCACCTGGACAGTCACATACTGGGCCAGCTTCTGCACACAGCTGCAGCAGTGTTCCAGGGCCTGCTCCTTGGACCCTCCACTAAACTGCACCCGGAACATGCGACTCTTGTTCTATGGGACAAATCCAAAGTTAGCCTCGGCAACCCTCGTCATACACTTATTTACTGCGTGGGCTTCTAGTGAGGGCTTACTTTGCTTGCAGGGGAAGAGGTATGGATAAAGGAGCGATTCCTCTAGATTGTTAATGTGGGTAGAGAAAAGCCAGTAATTTCTTTCCTTTCCCCTTTGGGGAACCACTCCTACTAAATTCGTCTCCTTCAGGGAACTGACATCAGCAAAAATGGAAACGCCCATATCGTAAAGACCAGGAAAGTCACTACTGACTGCAGTAAAAGATCAGTGTTTTGTCTTACTTTGGAATAAAGATTTCATAGCGTCTAATTCCTTAGGTGGAAAATCAGCGCTGGCTCAAAAAAACTTTTCTAAACCTAAGTATATAAAAGAGCAAACCAGGGAGATGGCACATCAAACAAACCAGCGAAGTTGACCAACAAGATTGGGGAACAGGTGACAGGCAGATGCTAAGAGCGAGGGACTCTCACAGTGGTACTCTGCAGAGCTCTAGATCCTCTAGATCTGGAACGAAGCCAGCCTACCACACAAACCACATGTTGCTTCTCATTTGCTGTATGAGTTTTATCCCTTGGCAAATAAGCAAATGTGGGGGGAGATGCAGTTAACATTGTAAAAGTTTGGCAACTACATCAAACTTATTTGATTGTAAGTTTAAAAAGAGAACTATGTTGTAACAGTAACAACAAAAATAAACCCATTATTTTAGTAGAAGTAGCTTCTTATTTTGCCAGTCTGCTGCTCTGCCTAGTTATGAGGAATCGATACATACCAGACAGGTGGTATGTATGGTGTGCCTTTGTTCAGTTTCTTCTTTAAAGATATCCAGATGCTAACTTAGCACAGTGACAGTACTTTCCATTTATTAAATACATAAATCACTCTACTAATGGGAAAATGTTTTTAACCACAGCTAACAAAACCCTTTTAAGTTCCCACAGGCAAAATCCCTTGGTTTGCCTGTTCCCAATTTGCACTGTTTAAATTTTTAGATAAAGCCGTTAGGCAAAGCCACATATTTACATTACAGAAAACTCTGGGCATGTCTAAGTGATGAGGAGGTATCATGTTTAGAAGAACAGACACTTCTCCCTCTTTACTGCCACTGTTGGGCTCTCTTCATTTTGTAACTCATTTAATCTTTATCCTAAGATAACCCATTATCACTACCCCTAAAACAATGAAAAAATACGAAAAGGGAATACTCTAATATATACGTATCTTAGAACATATATACACACTTATCCATTGTGGGTTATATATTACATGGCTATGTTAGACTATACTACTATTTAGTAACCTAAGAATATAAAAATAGAAGTATAGTTCATTGTTCTTAATGACTGAAGAGTATTCCTTTATTTAATTGGCCCCCTACTGACAAAAGTTATTCACAGTCTTTTGTCCTCTTATAAACCACAAAGCTGTGGTAGGCATTCTCATACATACATCTTTGTGCATCAATTTGCCTGGTCAAAGGTCTTGTGTATTTTGGTACCTAATGCCAAACTGCTCCAGGCAAGACAGTATCAATTTACTCCTACTGATGGTCTATCTGTACCCGCCAACACTGGAGATTCTTACTCTTTTAAACTTTTTTTACTTACTCTACTAGGTTAACACAGATTTTTATTGTAGGATTTCAATTCTTTGATTACAAATAAGGTCGAATATTTCTCTTCCACTTATTGGTCATCTGTATTTTTTCTTTTCTGGATTGCCTATTCATCTCCGTAGCCATTTTTCTCTTGGATGAACAATCCCCAAATTGTCAAGAGTAATTGAAAGCTGATCTCCCCCAAGGAAGGAGAAAGAACTGGTAAGAGACCTATACATTCCATTTTTGGCAAGTCTATGAATCTGTGTGTGTGTGTGTGTGTGTGTGTGTGTGTGTGTGTGTGTGTATGAAATTGAGCTGCTTTCCTGTTTACAAGTAATTAGCTGTTTCCAACTTACCCTAGTTTAAACTCTATATGAAGACATCTATATTAGCTATTCCCATGCTGACTCTGTAATTATCTAATATTTGACAAGCAATCACATTAAAAATTGTACCTCGGAGCTGGATGAAAGGCTGTCTACAGAAACAGACAACTATTAAGTGTATCAGCAGGGCAAAGATCTCACACCAGTCATGTAGGTCTAGAGCTATCTATATGTGAGTATGCATAAGAAAGTCTGGACAGTTAGGGTTTCTTTAGAATGTAGTTCCAAGAATGACAGGGTAGGCTATATGCGTGATAGCCTAACTGAAGGCTTGCTCCAAGTTTGCTTCTGTAAAATTCTCAGATAGAATTTGAGCTTATCATCTGAAGCCAGAACTATCACCCCAATGCATGAAGACCCAAGATAAAACTGAGGTGCATCAGGAAAAATATGTGATAATGAGCTACACTGCCATCCCACATCCTCAATGCCAATGTGGCACCACAATGGAAAAGCTGCCACTGGGTTAACAAGAAGGACTCCTAGGTCAAAAATCTTGCTAAGAGGTATTCTTATGCCATAATTAAAAGGGAGAAAGGGCTCCTTGTGGTGAAATGAAAAGTTTTCAAGTATATGCCAACAGCCATGAACTGGCCTAAAAATACAGTCTATCATCTAAAGAGATTAGCTCAAAATTACTGTATTTTAAGTGATGGTTTACATGTTAGATTGTTCTCCCCCGTACTTCAGAACACTTAATTTCAAGTTATTACAACAAGCAGAAAACTCCCTTCACACAGATGCCTTGAGGAAACAAAAGTGAAGGATAAGGGCTTGCCTCTAGACACTGATCGTGTACTCACAAGAAAATCAGGCTCCACCTTCTGGGAGGCATCATGCCCAGTAAATTCTGACTCACAGGTGTGAACAGCATCTGCTTTTGGCAATTCTGAAGCTGCAGGCTCTCCAGCTGATGTCATACGGTACCGGCACACATGTGAGACGTGGGCCTGGTTAGCACCATGTGGGAGGGGAGCCAAGGAGACACAAGGCCTCAGCAATCTACTGGGTTTTCCTGCTGGTTTTGGATTCATTGCCCACATCTGTCTGTATGAAGCTTCCCATCACTACTAGGACCCCAACCGAAGCAATTTTTCCTACTGCTGGTAGAGAATTCCTCTGCCATAGAAAAGGGAGGAGAGGGGCATACAAAAAAAATGACTGAATCAGAGAAGGGGCTTTGACACGTTCTTTGACTCTTCACTTTGAAATCAAGCGTAGGCCAGACAAAATCATGAAAACATGATTCAGTGAGTTCCTGGGGGTAAAGAGGACAGTGGTTTATGTTTACTCTTTTAAACCAAAGTCTCTGCAGATAGGTAATTAAATGATGACTGTTAGCCGATTAACCTGGACCATTTTGATCAGAATTACTGAATAAAAGGAAGCCCAATTTGCAAATAGGCAGAACTTAATCTGCTTATTTCATCCAGAGAGAAAAGAAATATAATCTTTTATTTACCCACAGAATTTAAGCTATATTAAATTGCTGTTAACAGAATAAAAACTTTATTTCAAAATACTTCTTCCATTTGTCAACTTAAACAATGGTGTTTGTTACATAATACTTGGTTAACTAAAAGTTATCCAAGGCAAGAAACACCAAAAATACCCTTTTCCAGGTAAGGCAAAAAAAAAAGAATCTGTTGGTTCAATATTGTTATATCAGTAGATCACAAAAAGGAAAAAAAAACACGATCTTGAGAAGGTGTCAAAAATCTTTTGATAAATCAATATGTAATCCTGATAAAAGTATTAGTAAGTAAACTTTAACTGAATGAATACCTCCCTTACATGTTAAAGAATATCTGATCAACAGCTAGAAATGTTCTTAACGTCTAAACACTACTTCCCATCCCAGTCAACAAGAGGTCTAGGACGATGCTATAGCCATAAAATTAGTGTTCTGAAAGGTCCAGGTAATTCAGTAGGGTGAGAAAAGTAATAAGTATAAACTACTGGAAAAAAATAAAATTGTCAGTGTAGATTATAAAATCACTTTCCTAAGAATTAAAAAATTAACAAATCAGAGTTAATGTAAGTTTAGTGAGGAAGCCAAATTTCAATTAATTCAGAAAAAGTCTAATAATAAGCAGCTAGAAATACCTTTGGGATAAAGAATACCATTCACAGAACAGTGGGCAAAAGGTTCCTAACCTTAAATATTTCTAAAATCTATATATATGTACAATACTTATACACATATATACAAATTACACAAATTACATAAATACATATTTCTACATAGCATGTAGAATATATTTCTACATGTACATAACTGTAATCTCTATACATATTCTGTCTAAATACTTTGAAGAGGAAAATAAGTCAAAACCAGTAGGTAGGTGATTCAAAGAAGAAATATAGATGGCTAACAAATACACAAAAAATGTTCATTCTCATTAGTTACCAAAGAAATGCAAATTAAAGGAAGATGCTCATTTCTGCCAATCAGATTGGAAGCTAGCTTTAAAATTTAAATTATATCCCCCTATTGGAAAGAATTTGGATAAATGAGCATTCTTAAATTCACTAGTGCTACAGAAACAGGAGTGACCTATAGAGAGGGCAGATTTACAAAATAAATACACATACTTCCAGGACTCCTATCTCAAGAACCCTGTAAATAAATCCTTATGAAAATCAAAACATTTTTATAATAGTGAAAACTTGGGAATTAGCCGAATCATGTTGCATCCAAACAATAAAATGCTACGTAGCCATGAAGAATCACATTTTCAAAGACTAAGAAAGTCATGACTCAGGATCACATTCCTGATGTAATGTTACATGACAAGACAGCAGGAACAGAGCACTCTGTATAATACAATCCCAAATGTATAAATTATCTATATGGTACACACTGTTCATTGCCATGAGCAGATACATACGAGAGGCTGGGAAAGCCAAACACTCATTTTGCTAATGTTAGTAAATTGGGACTGGCCACATTACACTGTTCTGGTCCATGAGACATAAGAAGACCTATTCTAGGGGTTGTGGAAAGTAGAAAGAAGCCTTATAGGAAAGTTTATGCTTTCTTTATGAAAGGAACGAAGAAGCTGGTTTTCCTCGAATAGAAATTCAGTCAAGCTACACAGCCATTTTGTAAATGTGAGGGAGAGGCCAGGGGAATTGCAAAGATGTTGACCCTGGCACTGTGAAACTGCTGAGCCAATGCTAGCAACTGCCTGTTTCTAGATTTGTTATTTAGTGAAAAAAATAAACCCCTAATTTTGGGGGCCATTATGCCTGGATTTTCTGTCACACGCATGTGAATGCTATCCTAAATGAAAGAATATATATGTCAAGTAACAACTTCAAATGTTAATAATGATTAGTTTTGAGTGGTCAAATTGCTTGGTTTTTATTTTGCTCTTTATAGTTAAAATTTTAAGAGTAATATGTATCAGGAAAAAGTTAAAACTCAGGTATCAGACATATGGCATAGTGTAACTTTTAAAAGACATATATAATTGACTCTAGAGTGAGAGGTGAGGGGTGCTGACCCCCACGCAGTTGAAAGTCCAAGTATGACTTATGACTCCCCCAAAACTTAGCTACTAGTAGCCTACTATTGACAGGAAGCCTTACCCATGAAACGAACAGTCGATCAACACACTTTGTATGTTACATGTATTATATACTGTATTCTTACAATGAAGTAAGCTAGAGAAAAGAGAATGTTAAGAAAATCATAAGGAAGAGCAAATACATTTACAGTGCTGTACAGTACTTATCAAAAAAAAAAAAATCTGTGTATCAGCAGACCTGCAAGTTCAAACTCGTGTTGTTCTGGCATGACGCGGGCCAGGGCCGGGAGTCAGAAAATCAGTGGGTGGCCCAGCTTGCTGACAACGAGTTATAACCTGGCCTAGTGGTGGAAGTCGAATTCCATTCCCTCATACATAAAATGAAAATAGGAGCTCCCGAAAATGTGCAACAGGGTTTTTGAGTATGTGCTGCAGACCCCTTTGGCAGTCTGGTGAAGCCAGCGGACCACTTCTCAAAACAATGTTTTTAATCACATAAAATACATTAGATTATAAGGGAAACCAATTATCCTAAAGTAGTCTACTACAATATTAAAACTCTAATTTGTGAACTAAGTATATATGCAACATACGCAATAAAAAGATCTAACAGCGGGTCTAATGACCACCATAATTCTGAGGCAGCAATGAGCATGGCCGACACTGAAGTTCTCGGAAACTGTGATGTGGTATGAAATTAGCTGACTTCTATTGGTGCAAAGGTCTAATACGACTGTGTCTGATGCCCACATTCATAACTGAAGGAAATGATAAATTTCAATTAGAGGTCAGTGAAAATCCATGGTCCCCTGAATTCTTAAAGGTCCCTTTGGAGGAGTGAACCCCAGGCTAAGACCTTTCCCTTAGATGCCCTATTAGGTGCTCTTCCAACTCTCAGTCTATGAGTCCATGAAAAATTAGGATCTTTCACCTAAATTTCAATATTATCTACTCAATGAATGTTAACAGATTGGTTTTTTATAGTTATTTCGGAAAGAAAATAATCCAGGTGATTAGTCTGTATGTGTCTTTGATGAGGGTCATTCTTTATGCTTAATGCTGCTAGAAAGCAAATAAAGGGACATTTTTTTAATATTAAAGAGGGAAAATGAAAAGACATACTCAGTAAAGCATTCAAAAATAGTAAGCCAAACAATGACGTGCCCCACGTCCCCCCAGCATGTGCCTGGGGAGTGGAGAATGGTTGGGCCGCTCCGTCGGATCAAAGCCTTGGCTCCCTTGGCTCCTCAGCAACACCCTCTGGCTCACTGGGCCCCTGCCTCCCTGTAGCCCGGGGCGCACGGTCTGCTCAGAGTGCAAACCTTTCTTAAACATACAGAATCAGGCCGGTTCCATTTTACCTGCAAGAAGCAGCACCACCACCCCCCCGTGCCCCGCCCCCGCCGTGCACACTTAGAATATGAAAAGGGTTTGGTCGTTGGCTGCTTAAAACAGTTGGCCACAAGGTCTCTTGCCTTTATTGTTGTTCCAAACAACAGACAATCCATGCGTCTCACAATCTTCAACCAGTTCTTGCTACCGATGAGTGAAAACCCTTCCTGAAATAAAACAATTAAGCACAATTAGCTATAGAAGCAAAAAGGGACATTAAGAATAGCTCTGGTGCAGCTGCCTCCTATTAGAAAGTTGTACATTTATTCTGAAACTTAGCACAGTAGAAATGGCTCAATTTTACCCACTGTCAAAGATGACCCTTCCAGTAAGTCCCCGAGCCGAGTGCTCTTCCCACCTGATCCACAGTAAGAGTCTCAGCTTTTATTGCTTGATCTTTTCATATTGAAAATCAATAAAATATTAAAGATAGTAAAGGTCCACAGTCATAGTTGCTATAAAATACATTTCTAGGATTTGCCAAAATACTAGCTTGTATTCCTGAAAGGTAAGGGTTTCCAATGTACTAATTTATTAGCTTATCTGACACATCTCTAACTACACAGCGAGAGTTCTCTTCATGAGAATCTTATTTTCAGATTCCTATGAATGGAAAAATTGAAGCAACTTGTTCTTGGATGCTGAATGTCTTTCTTCATCTCAGTCTGAAAAAAAAAAAAAAAACCCAAAAAAGGCAAAGAGGGCAGTAGAGGGCACACTAGTCTCAGAAGAGAGACAGCAGTTAGATCCTAATGGTAAAAGAGGAACTTTTTTCTGTAGCTTATTAATAATAAAGTAAATAGAATTGACTGTTTTAACAACTGTGTTCACTCATAAGCTCCAATTATGTTGTCACTGGATTTCCTCGGTTAGGAAGCCCGTTAAGTGACAATGTGTTCAGCATTCAGTAAAACTGATCCCGGGAACAGAACAACTGGCCGTATGCAAATCCTGCCTGCCCCCTGGTGGGCTCCCTTGTCTCCCCTGTACTGTTCTGGAGCCGAGCCACAGCCAGGGGAGGCTGCTGGAGGGATCTGGGAAGAATCGGGAAAAACTCCAACAATTAGAAAACAGAAGAAAATGTCGTCCCTTATAAATACAAACCCTCATGGCGTCTCTCTTCCTAAATCTGTATACACAGAAACCACAACTTCCAGAGAAATTTAGAGCCTGGGAAAACTGGGTGTTAATTCCTCAGCATTTTCATTTAAAAAAGAAAGAAAGAGTCACTTCTAAAATGCTGATTCTAAGAGTTTCATCATTAATAGTAAGGGGTTTTTTTTTAATGAAAAAAGAAGTTAGGCAAACCATCTGTGATTTCTTCTTAAAACTCTCAGAATTAGCAAAAAGAAATGCATTCACTATTACATCCCAAACATGTATGTAGTGTAAAATGGCAGTATACAAAGACCCTGGCACTCACACACATTGCTGGTGGAAGCACAAACTGGTACAACTCTTTTTTTTTTTTTTTTTAAGTAGGCTCCCTGCTGGGCTTGAACCCACACCCAATGCGGGTCTTGAACCCACAACCCTGAGATCAAGACCTGAGCGGAAATCAAGAGTCAGATGCTTAACCGACTGAGCCACCCAGGTGCCCCCAAACTGGTACAACTCCTATGGAGGATAATTTGGCAGGATCAACATTACAAATGCAATACTCTTTAACCTGGCAACTCCCATCCTGGGAATTCACTTCACGGATCCACCTGCACATGTGCGAAGTGATGCAACGACAGGGTTAAGGATTTCTCTATTTTTAATAGTAAAAGACTGGAAACAACTCAAGCATACATCAACAGTGGACTGGTTAAATAAAATACGGTACTCTTTACAACAGTATCCAACTGTAAGAAATATTAAATGTTGTTCAGGAGAAATATAATTTGAGCCACATATGTAATTTTCAATTTTCTAATAGCCACATTTTAAAAATAAAAAGCAGTTGGTAAAATCTTAATATTTAACTTCTATGTCAGAAACATTGTTATTTCAACATGTAAACACTGTAAAACATTAAGGTAGTATCAAAACAGAGAATGTAAACTAAGTCTCTGACCCCCACCTACACCACATCTCAATTTGGACACTATTTTTGATGGTTCAAGTGAAATGTCATTCCACCAAAACAATGACATTTAATGGGAACATAAGTTACACTGCTGCCATTTTAAAATCTAACTTTAAGTTAAATTTAAACTTCTGGTTTTTAGTCCCCCAGCCACATTTCGAGTGCCCAACAGCCATGCATGACCGGCCCATTGCTACCTTCTCAGACAGGGCGGGGTTCTGTATTGATCTCCATGGTATATTGTTCCACAAAAAGCAAGCTACAGAGCAATGTCCATAATATGCCACCTTCTGTATAAGAAAGGGAGGAAACATGCAATGTATATACTTATTATTTGCTTGTATTTACATTAAAAAGAAACTGGAAAGATTAGTACACATGAGACTAAAAAAAAAATAGCTATCTGTAGGGAGTGGGAGGAACAGTGCAGATGGAGGCAGGGGCTGGAGGAAGATTTTTTACTCTGTCTTTTTATGTTGCTTTGAGTTTTGAACCACATAAGCCTGTTCCACATACATATGGGAATCTCTGTGAAAACAAGGGTACCCATTCCACTATGGCAAAAACTCAAGGAAGACGTGGAAGTGGAACCTAAAGAAATGGTAAGTCCATGGGAACTCTGTACTATCCTTACAACCTTTCTTGCATATCCGAAACTATTCTAGAATAAAAAGTTGATTAAAAAAGGAAAGAAATGAATGGCTCTTGGCCCTGGTCGGATCTCACCTCTTCCTGTCTCTAGTCCAGCTTGGGCTCTACAGGACATCTCCACTGGACAGCTCCACAGATCTCTCTGTGTGCTCATGCCCGGCTGCATCCAGACAGCTGTCCTCCACAAACACTGTCGCTCCTACGCGGTGCTGCCTCAGTGATTGGCGTCACGCACACTCACCCGACACCCAAGTGATCACCAGGCATCATGCTCAACTCCTCCTTTCCTCACTCCTCCCTCAACACCATGAAATCATGAAATCTTCAAGTCTCAGAGATCCCACGCCCAAACAGCTTCTCCACCTGACCATTCTCCCCACGTACACGGCCACTGCTACAACAGACCCCCGCCATTTGTCCCCAGAATCCCTGCACTATCCTTGGAACTGGCCCCCCTTCCTCCAGGCCTAATTTCTCCATCCATCTGTGCTACCACCAGAGCAGCCTTTATAAAACAAAAATGGGATGAAGTCATTCCCTTTCGATGCCACCACCTCATCATCTCTCCCTCACCTCCTGTAAGAAACACCTGCGGGATAGAGTTCAAATTCCCTGATGCATATAAATTTCTCACATTTGGCTTCTCTGCCTTTCATGCATGATTATTTCCTTCGACTCTCATACAAATGCTGTATTAGAGCTTTATGAAACTCCTGCAGTTCTGCAAACGTGCCATGCTCCTCACACCTGGATTTTGTTGTACAGCCCATTCCTGAAATGGCTTCCTTTTTCACTGATTTTTGAAAACCCAGCTTTATCTCAACCATTCCCTACAAGACAAAGTTGGCTGACCTCTCAGAATTCTGTGCTCTCACAGATCTTGTACTTATCTCCTAACTGGCTACATTTCATAGAGTGAGGAAGAATCCCTGGGCAGGCAAGGCAGGTTCTAGAATGTGTCTTATTACCCCCCTGGAAGCCCCAGCAACTAGCACAATGTTTAGCAAATGCTACTGGATCTGTCCCAGCAGCCATTCCATTTAGGACTCTGTGCAGTGGCCACAAGGATAAAGGTATGGCCTCCTTCCTGACAGCATCTCTCTCTCTCTCTCTCTCTCTAAGATTATATTTATTTATTTGACAGAGAGCAAGAGAGCACAAGCAGGGGGAGCGGCAGAGGGAGAAGTAGGCTCCCTGCTCAGCAGGGAGTCCAATGAGGAGCTCGATGTGGGCTCAATCCTAGGCCCCTGGGATCATGACCCCAGCCAAAGGCAGAGGCTTCACCGACTGAGCCCCCCAGGCGCCCCTGACAGCATCTTATTTGAGCCATGTTAGGGCTCTTCCTCATCAATTTGTCCAAACCATTTTGCCTTAGAACTCTGTATATCTCTTCTCTCTGCCTCTTTCCCAGACATTTTTGCCTAATTAACCTCCAATCACTGTTCATTTCATTCCTAATCTCACTTGGGTCATCCTATTAGACTTCCCCGCAGCGCTCACAGCATCCGTCACAGTCATGTAACTGCAGTGTTGTTTGCTTTACATCTGTTTTCCCCTTGACTGTAAGCCCTATGCAGGCAGGGGCTATGTTCGTTTTGCTCACTACTGTATATATACCACCTATTATAGTGTTTGACACTAGCAGATGCTTCAATAAGTTTTCAGTGAATGAAAGAATGAAGCTCTTTATTAAAATTAACAGAGTATTTCATGGTAGTACTTCTTGGGAACACTGAGACCCATACATTTATTACCTGTCCAGTGATGCAGAACATCTTACTTTTATTTGACTTTTTCCAATTTTGTTGAAGATTCAGAAAGAGCTTTTTCATCCTAATGTTTTGGGATTTAGTAAAGAAGCCTCTGTACCTAACCACTTGTCATTAATATATTCTGAGATTTTAGTAACTCATCTCCCTGTCTCTGAAAATCCACTTCTTTGAATCTCCTTTAAGGCTTTCCCATCTGGTGAAGTTGGGTTAGCTCAACTGATGGCTCCTTAAGCAGCCTCTGCTGACTGTCTCAGATAGTGAAGCAGCCCTGTTCTGTACACCTACAGCACACAGTACAAGCTGCTACTAAAGACTCACTTACCATCCCTGAGCTCCTACTATGGCCAAGGACTGTGCTACACGTTAAAAAAAAAAAGACACAGGAGCTGCCCAAGGGCAGGGAAGAATCCATCAGAATCACCCAGGAGCTCTCCGCCTCGTGCTCAGGATACTGTTCCCTCACCTGGTCAAAGATCACTGCTGCTGACAAGAGTCTGCCATATCTCTTCAAAGTGCGGGGATGGAAAATGGGAATTAACAGTATGCGGTAGAAAGGGGAAAAGAGGGACACCCTGGAAAATACCAAATTTGCCATCAATCCAGAGAATAGGAGCCAAGAAGTTATGTCTTGGATAGAGGCATGTGGAAGCTAAGGGGAGAGAGACTTTCAAGT